ATCAAAAATAAGTTCTTTATACTGTCTAGTCATTTGATCATTATTAAATATTTTAAAAGCTATGGATGAACCAACATGAGTATCTCTGTGTGGCTCGTACTCACCATGTGAGGACTAAATCCATTAGTTTGTAATAAACCCCCTATGATATAAATCAACCATCACATCATCGGGCTTGAGGAATGCTTGATTTTTTTGCTTCAAACATGACCATCTAAATATTCCATCAAACTTAAAGAAAGGTAGTTGAGATGCAACTTGAATAAAAGTTTTAACTCCCTATAAAAATTTATCTGTTAATCCTCTTTGACCCTATAACAATCTATTATACATCCAATATCTCTCTTCTTGGATAGTCATTTGGATGTTAAAGCAAATATTTCCAACATAGTTATGAAATCAATTATTAGAAGATATGTAGCCTGAACAAGTGTACGTGCTTTACTTTTGAATAAGTGTACTTTACTTGAATTGGAATACATTCACTAACCATCCAATAATAATTTAGGTTTTGATACCTATGTTTGAATAAGATATTTATGCATTGCAAGTCTAACCACCATCTTATAGAATTTTTCCTTAAGTTTGAGGAGGACTTTTCTATCACACAACAAGTCCAAAACATTCCTCCACTTTAATCATCCAACTTGAATTATACTAATAATAACCATATCTATTTCACCATCATTCAAAATAATAGACTGAATATATTTAAAATATATACGCTTATTAATGACATGAAAAAAACATACACCAAGGTACAATCTATTGCAAAGCTACTAGGGTGTTGGAGGGAGAAGAACAATTACTCAAATAATAAATGTAGCAAATATAACAAAACTTTTATGGGAGATAAAAATTTGATGAAGGCTTTCAACATATATTTTTCAAAGATAAATACAACAATACAAGATAAATAATTTATTTGACAAAATAGAAAACTCAGCTAATGACTCTTGACCTTCTCACTCTCTCTTTTCTTTTTTCATTTTTTTTTCACACACTTACATCATCCTCTCTTGCCCTCCTTTTATAGTCACACCCAAACACTATTCCAATGTTTCTAGAAAATTCTATCGCATTAACTCCTCTATGAATATGAAAGAACACTCACATTAATTATTCTTGAAATATGAAAGAACACTTTCACTTCTAAATCTTTTTTGAAGCTTCCTTCTTCGTTAACCTTTTATGAACAAAATTCCTCCACAACTTTGTCATCCAAAAATACCACAAATAATGTCATTTCACCACTTTGACTAAAAAAGTCAATGTACTTCTTAAATCTATAACATAATATGAACTATATATAATATAAGATAATATAAGACTCTCCTCATGTATATGATTTGAGTCATGATCATCAAGGTAAATAGGATTAGCTTCCAACAAAAATCCCCCTTAATCCGAGCTCTTGTTTCTTTAACATACCAAGTCTTTCTCTCATCTTTAAGAATACATCATGCTTCAGAGGGTTTTTATATATATCAGCAAATTTGAGAAAAAAAAAATGTAAACCTTAAATTCAGTTTGGGATATTGTCTATCAACGGCTTTCGTGGGTAGAATGCGGGCATGATATGCTGCCAGAGTGAGGGCGAGATCGTCAGCCGGAGAGATGGAGTCGACAGCCAGATTCCTGTACAGGCAGTCGGCGGCGTGATCACGAGCGAGCATCTGCAGAGAAATAGATACATGAATAAATGAAGAGGAAGGCTTGGTTTGGCCAATAGTATGGAAATTTTTGGCAATTTTTCATCGGTTTAGATCGCCTGAACAAATCACTTAAAACCAGCAGACTAGGCCGCTGATAAAGTCATCGGTAAAATAGAAAATTGGTGCCCTTAATGGGGGTTATTATACCGCCGCTAATTTCAATGGTGTATTATTAAAAACTGAAGAATTAATCGTCGGTTAATACTGACGGTTAAACGCTGATTTAACCACCAATAATTTCGGTGGCTATAGGATCATCGGTAAAGGTTGCCAGTAATCCCTAATTTTCATGTAGTATTATCTTTGGAGATAGATTAGTGTTAATTAAAAGTGTTATTTTCCCTATTCTTTATATATTTATTTAATGCTTTATGTCCTACTGTTAATATTTGCACTAGACTTGAAAGAATCTTTAACAAATTACTCTGGGAAGCTAAGGATGGTAAATATGCTATTTTATGGTATTCATGGAATAGATGTGTGGGTGTTCACGATCAAGGTAATTTGGCTTTTAAGAGCTTGGGTGATATGGCTCTTAGTTTTTTGTATAAACTTTGGTTCAATTTAAGGTTAAAAAAGAGCCTTTGGTCTAAGTTTATGATTTCTAAATACTATGGATAAGAATCCTCTTACTTGCTTTTTCAAAAAAAGTGATTCTTTAAATTGGAAAAGACTTTATTCTATTAAATGGGAGGCTGATAATTTCATTCAATGGGGGTTTGGGTGTGGGGATATCTTTTTTTAGCAAGAAAATTAGCTTGGCTTCTCATCTATAGATAGTCTACTTAATACTCATACTACTAGTGCTTGTAAGGTTTCTCATTTTATTCAAGAGGGGACCTGGAATGTCAATTATCTTGCTAAGATGGTGCTGGATATTGTCTTTAATCTCATTCTCGAAGTTTCATTATAGCTTGATCAGAAAGATTATATTTTATTTAATTAGGCTAATGATGGAGCTTTATGTTCAAAGAGGTTTGACATTCTATTAGGAATTGGCATCCTAAGTCTCAAATTTTTTCTTCCATTTCGCAAAAAGGTATTCTGATTTCTTATTCTATATTACTGTGGATAATTTTTAATAATTACATGCCTATTGATACTATCTTGATGAAAAGAGGCTTTTATATTATTTTCAAATGACAATGTTGTTATCATATTGAAAATTTGAATCATGTTTTTGCTAATGGCTCTGTTGCTCTCAAAGTTTGGTTTTATTATGACAATATTTTTACTTCTTAATTTTGTAAGCATTATACCAACATTAATAATATTTTGTATGATTGGGTGATTCCTTCTAAGAGAAATTCTCGTAATGTGATACCCATCTTTATATGCTAGCTGGTTTCTCTAGAAAAATAAGAATAAGACGAAGCACGATAACATTTCTATCAATGCCACATCTATTATCCTCAACATTAAGGACAAAGTGAGACAATTATATTTAGTTAAGTTGATCAATTAGAATTATTTTATTAGTTGCTTTCAAACTACTGAGCATTTTGGTATTATAACTGTGGCCAATAATTACTCTTTTAATGACATTTTGGTTAAATAGATAAAACCTCAAGTGGGTTTGTACAAACTTAATACTGATGGCACGTTTAAAAATGGTAAAGCTAGTTGTGGTGGTCTTACCCATGACTTTAACAGCCAAATTATTATTGCATTTGAGGGTCATGCTGATGTCCACACGACTATTATGGCTTAGCTGCAGGCTTTAAAGTATAGGCTTCAGTTATGCATATCACTTAGGATTACCAATGTTTGGATTGAAATAGATGCTTTTCTTGTGATGCAATATATTACTGAAAATCACATTATTAACCCCTCTTATTACTATACCATTAGAGATATTAAACAATAGTTTTCGCTTATCAATTATTTTGTTACTCACATTTTTAGGGAAGGTAATGTTGTTGCTGATTTCATAGTTGATTTCGGTTGCTACCTAGTGGATTTTGTTGAGTACGTGGGGGCCTCTCTTCCGCCCAAGCTTTTGGGTTTAACGAGGTTTGATCGTATGGGTTTCCCTTATATTAGAGTTTCTTAACTTCTGGATTTTGGTTTTTGGGATGTTCTTGTTTATGACTTGTTTTTTGCTATTTTTGTTTTATCTTTTATTTACTCCTAACTATTTTCATTTTATAGAGGAGTCTACTCTCACTTGTTTACTCATGGTGTATGCTGTTTAGCCATTTTGTTGCTTCGCTGGGGGGTTGTCTTTACTGGCTGGATGTACTCTTTATTAGTTTTCTTATCTTCTTAGTTGGCGTTGGGTTCTATTCTTTGTAAGGTGGTCCAGAATTTTCTTATTGTTCATGCTACTGTCCATATTTTCTGGTTGCTCTTATTTAATTGGAAGTGCCCCTATACTAGCTTCAATGTTGATTTTCTTATTTCTTTTGGGCATATTATAAATGGTTGGCAAGGGAATGATGTGAATGATGGTTTTCCCTTCTAGGACTTGGCTTGTCTAGGAAATTTTTATGGTATTGATACGGGTTATGTTTCGGGGCATCCCATTTTCTGGCTTAAATTGATTGATGCCTAGCTTCATTGGATCTAGGAAATTCCAAATAGAGTTCTCGGTATCCTTGGTGTTAAATGTTTTTTTTGTTTTAATATTTTATATATCTTGTTATGCTTGGTTGTTTTTTAGTGCATAATTTTGGGATCGAGGAGTTTATGGTCAAGTATGATATTTTTTGCAGGAAGATTGTACAAAAAGTCTCTACTTTTATATTCCATTTTTGAGTGCTAGGTTCTAACCACCCTAGAATGTTATTAGATTATTTTGTATTTCTTAGTATAGTGAACCATTGCCTCATAGGTTTTCTTTTGACTTTTTTTTAGCTCATTCGAGCATTAGCGAGCTGAATGTTCCCTTTAAGAATCTTGTAATCCTTTTTTATATAAACGCGTAGACCCCTTTGTGAGTTTCCCCTTAAAAAAATATTCATTTTCATTCTTTTCCTAAAATAAAATGTATAAATAGTACTCATTTTAAAATGTAGAAATTATTCGAATAAAATATTTTAAGATATGATTGTAATAGATAGTTCACCATTTGCTTTTATATAACTCGGCATATGATAATATTATGTATGAAAATTTTCTGAAATAATATTTCTTCTGGTATTGCATAAGTAAAATTGCTGATGTAAAATTTATTAGTATAATTTTTCTAATGGCATTTCGTTAATTTTTACAAACTATTGATGGCTTCTCGGACATTTCGCATAAAAAGCTCCAGACGGCGCAGTATTTCGTCTCCTTTCCCGATAAGCTCAGTGTTGGCTGGAATGGCAACGTCTAGGGCATCGAAGTCCGAGCTTCCCCCTTCCTCTCTCTCTCTCTTTCTTTCTTATATACTCAGTTTCTAAATTAAACTAAATTAATTCCTCTTCCTGTAGCTTCTTCTTCCTCGCAAAACCCTAACCCAAAATTCTCTCTTTCGAAGTCGCTCCTCCTCCAGCTCTCCTCTGACTGATAATGGCGGACTATCCAGACTACGATTAGGAGTGCAGCGAAAGTATATCCCGTCGATTCCGGGTCGGTGTCGAGTCCTGATTAGCCGCTAAAAGATATGCTGGATCCGCAGTAAGTATAGATCTCATTACATGTTTCCTTGTTTCCCCGGGTAATAGGGAAGGTGTGTTGTTTAGCGTTACGTTTTCCCGTTCGTTTACTGCTTCCCCTTTGATGGTTCTATTTTTGCCTTTTATTAAAAGCGGAGCTCTTCTTTTCTGTTCTTTAATTTTATGCTAATTAATTGTGGTACTAACTGTCTGAAATCGAGCTAGCTCTGCGCGCTTCTGTAGTGAGGCTTCTGCCTTCTGCCTGCTTGCAGGTGACAGCTCTTACAGGAAGCGGAGGGTTAAAATATTTAAACAAGAGCACTTAAGAGAGCAGCTAAGCTTACTTGCCAATCGATGATGTTTGTGATAGAGCTGCAGAAAGCTAAAGCTGCGGGCTGACATCGCTAGCCATGGATGGGCAGCTTTGAAAGGTCTCTTCTTTTTTCGTTTTCAACTGCCCCCTTCCTCCCCTTTTTATCTACACAACCACTCAGAAAAAGGACAACGCCACCGCCATCCAGAAATCGTGGATCTTTTTATTTCAGCAGCTTCTCTCTCTATCCCTCTCTCTCCCCCTCCACCTTTCTTCCTCTCTCCCCCTCATATAATTACAGGTGTGGTAGAGGACAAGTTATAACTGGGAACTAAGAAGAAATGAGCTTGGGTTGAAGATGGAGGTGAAACAACAAGCCAGCAAGCGATCCCGCTTCAGCAACTGCAATAAGGACAACGAATTGCCCCGCACTATGACCTTATCTCAGTCATCGTCGCGGATCTTCAGAGTTTCTCGAGCTTCTGGCGGCAAAGACCGCCATAGCAAGGTGTTCACCTCCAAAGGGCTCCGTGACCGGCGAGTTCGCCTCTCTGTTTCCACGGCAATCCAGTTCTACGACCTTCAAGACCGACTAGGCGTCGACCAGCCCAGCAAGGCCATCGAGTGGCTTATCAAGGCCGCTTCCCCCGCCATTTCTGAACTCCCCTCTCTCGTTTCTTCGTTCCCCGAGTTCGCGGACATTAGTAAGATGAATGCTGAGAGTAGTAAGATGAATACCGAGGCCGAGCCTGGTTGCAGTAGCACCTCAGAGACAAGCAAGGGCTCGGTACTATCCCTCTCTCGCTCAGAAATACGCATCAAGGCGAGGGAACGAGCTCGCCTTCGTGCTGCAAAGGATCAGGAAGAGAAGAGAGAGGATGCCGGAGATCATCTTGACACCACGGAACAACATCCTCAGGATATGAATCAGAGCTCGTTCACTGAGCTTCTAAGTGCTGGTTCAGCTAGCGAAACAGCTCAAATTCAGGAAATATTGCGACCATCCACTGTTACTGCTGACTACTTTGGCCAAGCTGGCTTCTTTGCTCGAACTCAACATGTACCACCTACGTTCTGTTCCACCAAAAGTCAAAATTTTGGCATCTCTTCTTCAGTGGGAATGATGCCTTACAATATCGCCGCAGCCACAGGAGATAATCCAGAGATGCAACAGTTCTCTTTTATAAATGACCATACGGATTACAATGTCAACTTCTCCATCGCACCAGGTCTTACCGGTTTTTACAGGGGGACCCTTCAGTCCAATCCATCGGCTCACTCGCCATTTTCTCCTGCTTCCATTGATGTGCAAAACTTGCCGTTCATCCTCGGTGCAGCGGCTACATCGACAGAGGCTAACTTCCATTCTATATTCGACAGTCGGCTGCAGCTCAGTAGGGAGCCGACAACTCCATTTTGCTTGGATGGTTACAGGCCCTCAGACCTCAAAGGAAAGAGAAAAAGCTGATTTTGAAGGCATGGCAGTCATGGAGCTTTCAAGAACTTCTCTTTGCTGGTAAGAAATAAAAAAAAACATCAATTTTTCCGCAATTTTTAAATTTATTTTTTTATGCGTTCTTTATATCTGGAATAAATCATTACGTTTTAATATTATATAATATAAAGAAATTTTGACTCATAATTCTTAAATTCTGTATTTTTATACATTTTATATTATGTGACATATTAAAAACTATTTGTTATAATCATAAACATTATATTTAATTATAAAAAAATACTGCTTTTCCTGTCGCACCTTTCTTTAATCCATAGTACTTGTTGCTTTGGGGTTGAGGATGGCACAGACCATTTTGGCATTTTGTGTGTTTAACGACATAGTCTACTTTGTTCACATCCTCAATATTAGGTAGGCTTTGGTCTTATCCACGACTCCACGTTATATTCTGCACGAGTATTGCTTGTCATTGATCCTTACAAGCTCCTCTGTCCAACTACGATGATTCCTTCTTTCCATCCGTCAAGGGATCAACGGTTGTCAAATTTTGTAGGTTCAGGGTTTCAATCCGGCCCTTTATGCTTGTCATTTCAGCCATTTATGGCTCTGTGGCAATCCTTTTTTTTTTCTTACGCTGATTCGGGCTAATAGATAGATCAATTATGAATATATTTTCAATGAATGATTTTAGGCTTTTGCTTTCAATTCCGACTCTTGAAGGTCTTATAAGTAAAATAATGATCCTCACCGTAAGTCAATATATTGACTTTTATCATAAAAAATAACCTCTCATCATTTGAATTAGCCAACAAGAAATTCATGTAACGGCATTAAAAAATTTCATGAAGTCCTGTCAACATTCCATATGCCGTGAGCGCCTTCCTCAAATTAATCATGTAATATCAAGTCTATAGACATCTTATATAAGAAAGAATACAAAATATAAGAATAAGTTGATCGATTTTTACTATATTAATAGTTTTCAATACCCGTTTAAGCGTTGACTAATTTAGCTTAGGAAGCGCTTTTATCATACTAATTCAAGTCATTAACTTTTTTAATAAAATATTTGTCTTATATGTATATATTATATCATATAAAAAAATACCGAAATATATTAATGCAGTTAATATTGAACAATTTATTCTTATACCTCGTATTCTTTTTTTTTTCTTTTTTAAGGAGAAATACGGGATAATGCTAGACTCACACATACAAACGAATTCAAAGCACCCAACCAACAAATCAAGGAGAGCTGCGTCCTAATCTTTCTTATATATTACATTTTTGATAAAATAATATTAGGTGTTGAAGATGCTCGTGATGTGGAATGTTGAGTGGACTTAAATTTTTTTTATTTTTGTAGTTTTTCCTGGGAGCTTTTTGTTTTGCTAGTTCAAATGATGAGGGACTATTTTTTTAATTAAATTTGAATATTGTATAGACAAGTCAAACTCTTCTAGGCTTTTAGTGGCATGCATGGACTTTTTGCATTTGTTTGTGGTTGCTATTATTTGTTTATTTCTATGCTAATATTCTTCTATATATTTTTGGACAGCTCAAACTCTTCGCAGATTTTTCCTATTGCAAGAAACAGTTTAAAATCTCGTTTTTTATTTTTTTTTTCTAACAGTATATTTGATTGCATCTGTTCTATATATTGTCGTTTAGCTGCATACATTTTAATCATGTATTAGTTGCTTAAGACAACAAACTTCGTCAAGTTCTTTAAAGTTTTTTCTCAAGTTGTCTTATAATACTACTGGTTTGGGTATTCGGATGATATGAACCGTTAAGATTTAAATCATGAAACCAGTTAACATGGATAATGAAATGTCAGATTTTAAGTTTAAAAATTCTACTCTGTTTTTTTTTTTAATTTATTTTTTAATTCTGTTGAGTAGGAAGAAATGATGAACATCAAAACTTATGTAAAGCGAAGAAAGCTAGTTGTAGCTGACCCTAAGTAGTTGTGAACAGGCTGATGGCGATCATCTTGATGATTAGGCGCGTTAATTTTGTCAAAAATAATGATTGATTACCGAATACTATTGAACTGAAAAAATATTTTTTTAAATCTACATTTGTACTGCATATGCAGTTAGAATTAGTCACTTCACTTCAGACTATCATATATTTGTCACTTTAAACCAAGAATATCTCCTAATGAAAATTTCATTAGTAGAATAAATTAGTTTTACTTATTCTTTCCTGTTGAAAGGTATTTTTTTTTTTTAATTTCATAAGAAGAATGTTATATTTTAGCAACTCATGGGATTGATCTTGGATGCTAATGACTGATAGATGTTCAATATTGTTCATTAGCAAGCATCAGACGATGATTAGACTTTATGAAACCATTGATGGCCATCTGTAGCATAAAATTAGTTAGTTTTAAGGAGCATAGATATCACATGAGTCTAAATTTTATTACAACAACAACAAGAACAAGCCTTTATCCCACTATGTGGGGTCGACTACATGAATCGTTTTTCTCCATTTTGTCATGTTATGAGTCAAATTCTCATCTAAATCTAATAAAGAAATGTCATTTATAATATTTTCTAACCAACACTTTTTAGATCTACCTCTAACTTTCTTAACATAAGTTAAATCTAATACATCTACTTTCCTAGCCGTTTAATGAGATGAAACCATCTAAGGCTACTCACTCTAATCTTATTTATCCACTGGTGCTACTCCAACCTTTTCACGTATATTCTCATTTTGTATCTTGTCTCTAAGAGTAAAGTCACTCATCCACCTGAGAATCCTCATCTCTGCAACACTTAACTTAATATGCTTCTCTATTAATGGCTCAACATTCTGCACAATAAAGCATTGTAGATCTCACTACCATTTTATAGAATTTAATTTCCCTTAAGTTTGAGAGGGACTTTCACTACAGGAAAATCACCCACTTCCGGCGGCTTTTTCCGGCGGAATTTGAGCAATTTTCGGTTCCTCCACTTCATCCATCCAACTTGAATTCTACTAATAATATCCATATCTATTTCACCATCACTCTAAATAATAGACTCAAGATATCTAAAACATTTATATCTTATTAATGACTTGGTCATCCAAAGTTACAATCCCCCCACTAGATCTATTATTACTAAAATTACACTCCATATATTCAATTTTAGATCTTCTCAAGCGAAAGCCTTTAGACTCTAAGATTAACTCATTATACGAGGCTAAATTTTATTGTTCAACAAAAATTTAACATTATCTTTCATAGAACGCACAATGTTGGGCAACCTTTATGCTATGATTTAGTGTTGCCAAAAGTTTCAAAAGTATCTTCATATATCCAAGATATAAAGAGCATTGGAAAATGCTTGAGGGCCTTCTACCTATGCTAGAAATATGTGTAGTTATAACGCTATTAAGGGAAGCACCAAAATATTTTCTCCTCTAACCCAAGGTAACAATGATAGGTACAAATAATATGGCCAACCTAATCTTAATAATGGGGTCATTGAATCCTAAGGAACTTTCAGCCGATGATTTTGTGATGATAATTACCATTAGCCTCCCCACCCTTGTTAAGTAAGACAAGTATAGGTATCACTATCACTATGGACTCTATAGGGACTAAATATCCATGCAAATTAGAAGCCAATGACATTGAGAAGAGAATGAAGCATTAACAACAATAAGAAGAAGCTTGTTTATATTTTAAATGTTCTTTGTTGTATTGTACAACAATGGCCAGCTCCATCTCCTTAAGCTTCATTTCAACCCTCGAATGAAGAGGTTTATTTAGGAGGAGAATAACAAGCTCTCCTTACTCTCTTAGCAATGTAGGACTTTATAAGGATAAAAATATTAAGATTTGGTGATTGGCAAGAAAAAAGATCCTAATTTCTTATTATCCAATAGTCTAATGGTTAACTTTAAACCTTCAAGATATTATTTAATGGTGTATTACTTTATAGGCACTTTAGTTTATTTTAACTACTCAATCTTAATTCGTAGAGTGAAATACTAATAGTTTTTTCATCCTTCTATTCAATATATTCAATCAAATTTATTACACATTGGTATTGCATAATCCTTGAGCCACCATGGCATGCAAGTTGCATTCACAGTTTGAATAGTATTATAAATTTTTTGTAAGTGAAAAACTAAGACCTCCATCTTATTAATGAAAAAAAGTTAGGCAACGTACAAGGTGGAAGACGCTCTTTCTTGAATTCCTTTCTCACTTAGCTCTTTGACTAAGTGGTCTCTTTCAAGTCATAAGACATAAGGTAGCACAATTCTCTCTTACTCCATAGTAGGAAACTTCTCTCTAAGGTCTTTCTCTTATGTTTCAATATCCTACTTGTAACATCAAAAAATTTTGTTTTCTTAATGTTCATCTCAATCATACAATTGGCAAGCATTCAAGCTTCTAATATCCTCAATAATCTCAATGGACAAAGATTGCAACTTCCCTTTATTAAATAGGGTTATCGATTGTGTCATGGGTAGCAATAAAATAAGGTATGACACAACTTGTGTCTTTTATTCATTGCATGACATCATGATTGAAAATGGGATTATTGAGGTATGGAGCTCTTATGATGCCACATTTGTGGAATAGCATTGTCAAGATGTTGTCATTTCTATGCAATCAATAATCTTCTTATATTTCAAAGCTGACTCGTCTCTTGATTTTATTCAATGAGCCTTTTGAGATATCTAGCTGGCTAGCTTCCAGCCTCCTTTACTTCTTGGTTCTTGACCTTCAGTTTCTCAGTTCTTTAGCATATGACAACAAAGAACTTCTTACGGACCCTTTTGAAGTCTCCTTAGAACCTGAAATACTCTTAGCAGTAATATTACTGACTTGAGATCATTTTAGTCACATTATAACTCTTCCCAATACTTCCTTTCTTTCTTCTATCACCCCTAGTTCCCACGTCATCAAGTACTCGATCTTTTGATCATATGCCCCCATTTTAGTAGGCAATTCAATCATGTAAATCAAGCTATAATTGAGAGAATATGTCAACTTTTCTCTCCATATTGTACCATTTTTCCTTGGATGTTAGTTGCCCGTTCATGCT